GCGAGACTCGTTCCATCTCTCTCTTTTACTAACGTTCATATACATATAATACATATATATATATATATATATATATATAGAACACGTATTACTCTCTCCCTCGTACCTTCTCTCACTCTACTTTCTGATTTTCTTTCTCGTTCCAACTAATTTTCATTCTTTTTTTTATCATCTATACCGGCAGCCTAACTCGTGCGCCCGCCTGTTTCACATCAAAACGAATTTAAAGTCCTACCGGTAAAAGAGAACGAACGGGTTACGCGTTCGTATGGATTAACATTTTTGAATTTCCCGCTTTTTCTTTTTTACTCCTCTGTCTCTCTCTCTCTCTCTCTCTCGCGCACACTCGTGGCGTGGTACGTGTTTTAGAAAAAACAAAAAGAAAAAAAAAACCCACACTGTTATCACTCGTGGACTTTGTAAATCATTTTTCTTCGAATCATAACACGCGAACACAACGTATTTAATCGTAGATATTTATTGATTAGCACGATAATTTTTATTTTCACGGTAATCGGTGTGGTGCCTTGGGGCGGGGTGGGGTGGGGGATCGAGAGAGGAGAGAACAGATTTTCATTTAATTTCAACGAGAAAATAACTACGCTAACGCGAGAATTTACGTTTTGCGAAAACGGTAAACACGCATCCATCGTTTTTCGTAGAGATATGCGTGTACTCGCTTGTACATACGCGAATTATAGATCACGGTCTCTCAAGGGCAATCCGGCTAATTTAGATCAGAGGGCTCACTCCCCCACCCCCTCGACCGCCTGCTTTTCCACCACCACCACCACCACCTCCTTTTCTGTTGTATGATATTGCGTTATTTTTTCCTTTTTTTCGAAAGAGATTATCGCGTTTAGAAGATTTTTTTTATTTCTTTCGCATCTTTTTCGATAAAAAAAGATCGGCCCGCCCTGCGTTATCTCTTTTTATTTTTATTTTTTTTCTTCTTTTTTTTTTTTTTTTCTTTACTCGAGATTGGCGAACGAGATCTAGTATTATACGGATTATGTTTCTCGTGTGTGTCTGCTTTTATATCTCTTTTATTTTTAATATTTTTTTTTTTTTATGCGTATAATTGCATATTCAGTGTGTATACGTATGTATGTATATAAGTATAAATGTATTATTGCAAGCTGAGGTGTAGGAGAAAGATTGCTTGATAAGAAACAGAGAGAACTGATAAGAAAGTAAATATATGTAAACAAATTTATATACGTACACGATGAGTAAGCGAGAGTGTGTAGTATATGCGTGTAAACACGCATAGTAAATGTGTTGGTAATACGTTTCGTGTTTCGTTTGATGTTTTTTTTTGAAATTAATTTTTGAGTGTTTTTTTGTTGTGTTGTTGTTTTTTTTTTAAATAGATTATTTAAGGCTTTTTTTATCACATAATCGTAATTAATTAATTAATTAAAACTTACCGATCTAAGAAATAATATATTATATATATAAAAAAAAAACCTCGGATATCTCGCGAGAATATTATTATTATTATTATTATTATTTAACGACCGGGAAACGTATCATACTTATTTATTTTCTCGCAATGACATATCCAACTTTAATTCGTCGACGCCATTTGTAATCATTACTACTACTGAGTACACACACGAACGGGTCTACGGTGTTTATTAAATTCATTATTCTTTCAATTCTTTTTATTTCATTCTTTCTTTCTTACTTACTTACTTACTTACTTACTTACTTACTTTCTTTTTATTTATTTTTCCGTATCCTACGGGATATACATACGATTTATCATACATTTTCACGCTAGCTTACTTACTTACCAGATATCTTATCGAAAAGAGTATTAATTCTTAAAAATACATGCATGATTTTATACATTCACATATATATATATATGTGTGTGTATATGTATGCATGTTTCTATTAATAATTTTCTCTCTCTCTCTCTCTCTCTCTCTCTTTTTGTTATCTCCCACCACAAGTAATTATTTGATCATCCAAAAAAAAAAGAATCTTCAACACTATTTTTTTTTTAAATTTGTCTATCTCTTTTCTTTATTCTATGATAATAAATATCTAACAAATTCGTATAACTTCGTTAACATTATCGTGAAGAATATTATCGTTTATAGTATATGCCATGCGGCATATTCAAAGAAACCTAACTCTCATCTTTTTAACTAAAGAGAGAGAGAGAGAGAGAGAGACTTTATGACCCTAACGCAAATATAAAAATGAAAAATATTGAAGGACGGTTATACGCACACATACATATATATATATATATATATATATATATATATGTACATACTTTTTAAAGAGTAAAGTCATTCTTCTTTTTAAAAAAAAAACCAAAACGAAGCCGAAGCCAAAGAAGAAGAAGAAGAAGAAGCAATAATCAAATGTTAAAATATAAAAAAAGGTGATGAGAGAGAGAGAGAGAGAGAGAGAGCATCCTGAGAGCGGCCATTTTATCTCGCGAGTTTTATCGTATCATACATATATGTATAAATGTATAAGTCGATTGTTTTGCAGAAATGTCGAAAGATGGAGATAGAGAATGAGTGAGAGCGAGTGAACGAATGACTAACATAAAAGAGAGAGAGAGAGGGCGAGAGGGGGGAGGGAAGTTGAGAGAGAAGAAAGAGAGAGAGAGAGAGAGAGAGAGAAAAAGAGAGAAAGAGGATTCCAATGGCGAAGTTGAAATTTGGCGGATCTTTGGATCTTCGTACCGTCTTGCGTTCAGTTTCTCCGCCTCCTCCTCCTTTTTCTCCACCTCCTCCACACTCTCCCCTTCCTATCTCAGTCAACCTTCTCGCTCTCCAGTCTCCACTGGCTTGGCAAAACGGGATTCTTTCCTTCTCCGGTTCGCCGCCGTTCTCCATACACGCTCGACGCTTTCTACGTGTATTGGTGGATTGTCTGCCGTCCGTGAAGCCTTCCCCGCGACGTTGCCATGTCCACACAAACGTAACGCGCCGTTGCCATTTTCCATCGTTACGCCATCTCCCTCTTTTTCGTTTCTACTCAACTCTCCCTCTTTCTTTCTTTCTACCCCTCTCCCGCCGACCCCCTGAGGCCCTTTCTCTCTCTCACTCACTCACTCATTCCGTCTTTCTCTTTCTTTCTTTCTTTCTTTCCATATCTTTCTATCTTCTTCTCGCTCATTCGTTCTCTATATTCGCTTTTTCTTCTTCTCGTTCACCAACTTACCCACTCTCTTTCTCTCTTTTTCTTTCCTTCTCGTTCACTCTACAACCAGGTCCAATCATCCAGCACCCCTCTTCATCCAACAACGGTCGCATCCCCTCCTCCGCTCCTTTTGCAGCCCTTCGCGCCCTACCGCCAGGCAGCAGCAACCAGCCAACTTGCTTATACCCGCTTCAGTGCCGTATCTATTACCTCCGGAACCCTACCAGTTCTTTACTTAAATTCCTTTTTCTTCTTCTTTTTTTTTCTTTTTTCAAAATATGAAATATTCTTCGATACGACATTTATTACAGGCTTCTTTTTTATTTCATCCGTTAGATATAATTTTGTATATTTTGGATATGAAATTATTGAACTTTTTAGGTTAAACATTGTTAAGCTGATCTCGTACGAAACTTCGAATGGATCTTTCTCTTTAACGGTATATATTTTAACTCGGATACGAACTAAGGAATATTAAATTGCGTTAGTTTATCTTTCTTCCGTAAAATAAATGGAAGGAATAGGAGGGGGACTGGGATAGAGAAATAGAGACACGTTTGTCTCTTTTTTTTTTTTACTTTAAAAGTTATTTCGAATCTCAAGGATGAATTTTTAGAGTGTAGAAAGATTACTTGAGATCGTAAGGAGTGTTCACTTAGGATTACTTTTGATCGTTACTAAAGAAAGAGAAAGATAAATACACAGATAGAGAAAGATGAGAGAAAGAGAGAGAAAAAGAGACGCATAACGCAAGAATACAGAACGTACAGCCGGAAATGCATTGAAAGTGATGAAGATGAATCCATGTGTGCGAATCAATTGTTGAATTCTAAATGATTGAATCGTATTGATCGTGATAAAAGCAATGAGCACCTACTAAACGAATACCATTCGCCTAATGTTATTTAAATAAATATGTATAATGATGTTTCATTTCTTTCAATAGGAATATATCACTGTGTGTGTATCAGTTTAACCTTTGCATAATATAGAATTGGTATCAGAATATAACGTAAATAAATATACACATATATGCATGTGCAGGCACATGCATTCTTAGAATACTGTAAATATATAAAAATTTATTGAAGCATTTAAAAAGAGAAAAAAAAAAGAATATAAAAGAAGTAGATACAGCGTCTGTAAATAAAATTCCTTTCTATGGTACACACTTCTATTATTCGCGAATATTCGATTTTGTCGAATCGGTTCCATGATGCATAACGTGATATGCGGAAAATATCACGTTGAAGAGAATCTTGCGAACAGTTGGTAGTTCTTCTTCGTGGACCGTGGTGCGGCATCTTGCTCGACTTTGTCCCGTCTACTTTAAGTCGGGAAGATCTTTACAGAATTTAGTAGAATTACCGTTCCTATCGTTCCTATATATATATATATATATATATATACAAAAACATAATAGAAAATCTTACGAATGAATAAATTGGATAAATCCTATAAACAAATACTATAATAAATTTTAACGAACAAACATAATCAAGACAACGTTTAAACATAAAATAATAAAATATAAATTAAATATAATCAAGAGAGAGAGAGAGAGAGAGAGAGAGAGAGAGAGAGAGAGAAATGTAATAAGTTTTTGAAGAAAGAAAAAAAAGAAAGAGATAGTTTCAACGAAGAGCAAAGAAGGGAGGGGGGGCGATTGAAACGCCACTAGTAGATACGGGCTTGACCTGACGCAGTCCTCTCTCTCCCCCCCAGGGCCTCCCTCGTTCACGCTACACCGCTAGTCGGTCGTGCCCCTCTCCCACCAGGATTCCCCTCTCCTCTTCCCTAGATATCGTGAGTCTGTCTCTGTTAGGCATACGAATCGTACGTAGCGTCTGGAGTGTATCGTTCTTTCTCTAACTCGGTCGTATTCGGTGTTAGTCGGTTATATTCGATGTTACTCGGTTAAACTCGGTAGGGCTCGGTCGGGTTCCTCTTTACACGCGACTCGTTGCTTGGCCTGACTCCTCTCTCTCTCTCTCTCTCTCTCTCTTGCTCGCTCGGTGTTGGTCGTAAATGGTTAGATGCGCATGCGCGAGTTGGCGTATCCTTCTTTCTCTCTCTCTCTCTCTCTCAGTTAAAACCCCCTACGATCGGTACGTCCCTGTCCTCTCGCGACCCCACCTACCCGCGACACGAAAACTCTTAGCCCCCCGGCCCTCCTTCCTTGCTGATATCCATCCCCTTTCCCCTAACGTCTCCCTGATTCCGCCTTGCCTGGCTGGCAGCCTGTGCCGTCCGTCCTTACGTCCGTCCGTCCGCCGTTTGGTAGGATCTATGCTTGTGTCGGTGGATTTCGTGACGTTAACCTGGCGGCCCTGAAAACGTCGTCGTTCGCGGACCGATCGTGCGTTTTCGACTGTGCCCTTACGACGTCTGCCCGTCGGTGTGATACGCGCACTAGTGTAACTCTATTTCTCTTTTCATTTCTTTTTTTTCATTCCACATTTTCTCTTCTTTCATCATCATCGTTGTCGTCGTCGTCGTTCTCGTCGTTCTCGTCCTCGTCGTTTTCGTTGTCGTCGTCGTCGTCGTCGTCGTCGTCGTGTATTTTAGTATTCGTAATCGTTATTAGCTAAGAATCATTATCATCGTCATCGTCATCGTCGTCATCAATTTTGTGTGTGAACGCATATGCGGTAGCAGCAGCCAATTGGACTAAACCAGAGATATATTATACACAAGATATTGTTTAAACAGGGTAAGGAAGGAAGGAAGGAAGGAATGATGGAATGAAATAAGGAACGATGAAGAGGAATAAATGTGGCGTGATGGTGATGATGAATAATAACGCCACGTTACTCAAAAAAATATCGCGTCGTTGTCGTCTTCTTCTTCTTCTTCATCTTCTTTTTCATCATCTTTTGATTACTGCAGTACACCCACAACAGAAGATCGTGTAGCCAGTGTAACTATTTTGTGCTCCAAGCCCTTTTCCTCCCCTACCTCCTCCCCCGTCGCGAATATTACATCCATATACAATCCTAGTTACAAACACCTATCGTCTCAACCTGTTATTATTATTATTATTATTATTATATTAAATTTCATTACCGACGGTTCAACGAATTCTTTTCCAAATACGAAATATCATCAAAACTTATTTCTCTCGCTTTCACCGCGTCGTTATTATGTGCTTTGTCTCTCTCTCTCTCTCTCTCTCTCTCTCTCTCTCTCTTTCTTTCTCTCTCTGTCTCTCTCACTCTCTCTTACTCGGTCTTGCTCGTTCGTTCTCCTTTACCACCCCCTCTCACCCTCCTACTCCTCCTCCTTCTCCTCCTCCTTCACCGCCACCTCTTCCTCCACTGTTCATCTTTCTCTCTTTCTTATATTACTTTATTTATCTTTCATTTTCTTTCTTTTTTCTTTTTATATTGTATTTTTTTTTTTTTTTATTCTTTACACAACAAATACGGAATGTGTTCATTCATCGTATTATATCCCATCCCTTCCTTGTTCCTTTTATTTTTATTCCCCGATGCAATTATGCAAATAACGAATGGCAAAGAGACAAAGAAGAGAGAGAGAGAGAGAGAGAGATATAATATATATGTAAAATAAAAATCGAAGTTCTTTAAAAATTGTGAGTGAACGTGTGCAAGAAAGAGAAGCATATACCGTGTGTATGCGCGTGTGTGTGTGTGTGTGTGTGAGAGAGAGATAGAGTGAGCGGATGGAAAATCGTGAAACACGGAATACGAGAAACGCTTGCTCGTATGTTTTTCTCTCTCTTTCTATCTTTTTACTGCACCTGCACCTGCAGCTCTAAACCTAAAACGATCGTGTATAGTTTACATTAGAGAGTCTAATCATAAAAATGTTTAATCAGAAGCACGACGACGGAATAATATTACTTGTACTTTAGACAATCCTTTCGATGATAAAAGATAAGAATATCACGATAATTTGTTGGTAATATAGGTTATATTACGCGTTCTCGTGAATTTCTCTGACCGCCGTCGGTGTAGTTCGTTGTCGTTCGTCAATCGTCGTTGTTCACAAATTCCGCGTTTATAAAGGACACATCTCGAGGATTGGTGGAAAGGGTTTGGGGAATTGTGTATTCGTCTGGATTCTCGTTCGTTCCTTCGTTCCTTCGTTCATCACAATTCGATTCTGTTTGATTCTATTTTGGGGTTGTTTTATTTTCTAGTAAATTAGGTAATCCGTTACTTTACGATATACACACACACACACAATATATATTGCATATATTATATCTGTATATGGTGCGTGCGTGCGTGTGCGTGTATATTTATTGCGCGTGTATGTATTATATTCCAGTTCGTCCACTTAACTGAACTATAGACAAAACACAAGTTTTCATCTAACTTCGTCGTGTGTTGCATATTATTAAAACAAGATTGTTAGTAGTGTTTTCCTACAAACGAAGGAGGAAGGGTCGATTGAAATATGTCGTGTTTACGTGATCAACAAAACTACTGTTACTTCTGTTACTACTGATTCTTTCAAAAGTTACCGACCAATGAAGAGGAACTAGTGTTGTTCTTATTGTTTTCGTGTGATAAAAAAAGAAGGAAGATCTTCGATCGTTACCCTCATATACAGGATTCTAACCTATCAAGGTTGATTGCAGGTGCGTTTAATAATTCTTGGAAAGAGGATACTCTCTACCACTCCTTAAAACTTGATCGTGGCTATAGTTCTTTTTTACTTTCGTCCTTCCTTTATTTCTTTCTTCTTCTTCTTCTTTTTGTAATCCTTCATTCAAAAATGTTACTGAAGAAAACGTAGACCCTAGGAAAAAGGGAAACCACTAAGGATAATAACATAAACGTCTGCACCATTCATCTGAATCGACAAAGCATCTGAGACACACGCCGAATTCTGAGGTAGTTGACCTACAGAAAAACAGAAAGAGAGAGAGAGAGAGAGAGAAATGAGAGGATACCTTGAAAAAGGAAAGAAGAAAGAAATGAAGAAACCGATAGATAGAAAAAGATAGATATAGATAGAAGATAAAGAAGAGACACCCGTCTTCTTCTTCTTCTTCATGGCCGTTAAGACGAGAGAAACTTTTCGAAGAGAGGAATACGTTTGAGAAGCAAACCCGAAATAGAGAGGACTATTAATAGTTCACGATATCTTCTTCTTCTTCTTCTTCTTCTTCTAATACTTCTGGATCCCGTCTCGTGTGAACTTGAAGAGAAATACTGGAACGCAGTGTGTGGTCGTCTTTACGAACAAAAATTCGTACGTATTATTATTATTATTATCATCATAATCATCATGATCATCATTATTATTATTATTGCATCCATATATATACATACATTCTTTTTCGTTATTATTATACCAAAAGTAGTGCCATATTGTAATACATTTGATAATAGGATAAACTAGAAAAGATAGGGAAAAATAAATAAATAAATAAATAGTATATGAGAAAGAGAAAGAAACAGAACTTCTTCATCTTTTCCTCTCATCATCGTCGTCGTCGTCGTCGTCATCGTCATCCCCGTTGCTTTTTTCCCCCACCATCAGCACCATAACCACACTTCTTTAATATCTTCCTCTCACCGCGCAACGCAATGCAGCGCCGCTCCGCGCCGTTTGTAAATCCCCCACTCTTTCTATTCCGCGCTAACTTTATCCCCACCATTTTACCAGTGTTACCACTCACGTTCTCTTCTCATTCGCCGCCGTCACTAGCACCGCCGCCGCCATTGCCGCTGCCATCCTCCACCACCTTTTCGTGGCCGTTGGCTCGACGACGACGATGACGATGACGACGATGACGACGACGAAGAAGTAGAAGACGAAAAGACGAAGACGACGATACAAATTGTCGTGGAATGTCGTCCGAGTTTACGAGGAAAATCGTCGGTCAAACCGACGGCAATATTTCCCCTATTTTACGTTTCTTATTCTTATTCCTCTTATTTTTATTTTTATTCTTATTGTTGATATTCTTGTTCGAACTTTTACTATTCCTCTATCTATGGCTCTCTCTCTCTTTCTTTCTTTCTCTTTCTTTCGTTCAGTTACTTGATATTTATTTTGATTTGTGTTTTTTTATATATATTTTTTTTTTATTTTGAGGTTATAACATTTAAAAATTTAATATCACAACCTTTGAAATTTGTAATACATTGACCGGTTATAAAGTACGTTTAGCATATATATACATGGGAGATAGTTATGTAATTATTTAAATTTAATATTGCATAAATATATTTACGATCTAGTAATCAAATTTATTATAGTATCTTTTATAGGGTTTTTTTTTTATATATATGTATATGTATATATTTTTTGATAGCATCAACTTTTAAAAAAGAATCGTTAGATTTAATATTATTTAATATAATAATTGTGTTTTATTTTGAATTTTGATATTAACAATTTTCTAACACATTTATATAATGTTACAATATTGAATGATTCATTTAATTATTATGAATTTGTGATTAGTATTTTTATTTATATTATAATTAGCAATATTGTAATCTCTTTAATTTATTGAATAATTTTTATCTAAATAATATAGAAAAATGTATTTGATATAAAGTTTGTGATCAGGGAAGAAATTTAATGTTAAACATAGTTTTTGCATTAGTATTGTTATACATTTCTTTTTATAATAACGTCATTTTAAGATGAATTGATATAGAAAAATAAACTAACTAGGGTGGAGGGAAGAAGTTTGTTGTTCGCAGACAAAATTAATGGGAATAAGAGTATTTAATTAAAAAGATGCCGTATTATATTGATAGATCGTTTTGATCATTTGAGTTTTAAGTTTAGTTAAATATAATGAGGGAATGTGAAAAAGTTGTACAGTTGTTGTGTAATCGTATAATTAATGAAGAAGAAGAAAAAAAGGGAGGGCGAAAAATTTGATTGAAATTTAAAAAGAATGTGATTTTAAGCTCGAGTTAATTTAATTAGATTTTTTTTTTTAATACGCGGATGATAAAAATATATATATATATATATATCGAATTTTATCGTTGATAAAATATTCATCAGATTTAGAGTATAATACATATTTGTGTACATTATGCTTTTTTGTTTTTTTGTTTTTGTTTTATTAAATACTCTATCATAATAGTTCTCGTGTTCTCGATACCGTGATGTTGTTTGTTTTTACTTTTTAATTAGTTTTTCGAGCTAATAGAAAGTGTTAATTTCGTAACAACGAAGGACAAATGTAAGCGAGATAGGAATTTTTATTGAAAAAGTATTGAGTGCAATTGTCGAGTGCATATTTTCCATTCGTTGTTGTTGCGCATTAATACAAATTCGATACGAATAATATTATACACTTGATTGATGATTTTCAATGATAGTAACAATAACAAACATTTATTCACATTTATTTTTAACATTCTTTCGTAGATTTTATTTTATTTGCTTTTAGTTTAAAATCTTATGTAAAATA